ATATCGGATCGTCTCTTTAACTGCTGAGTGTATTACAACGAACGAAAGCCGTTGGACTGATGATTGTCCTCTCAACACACTGATAGGACGGTTCTTGAGGCCGCACGTAGGCATCAAAGATATAGCACAGGTCCGATTTGTTCAGAGCGGCGTTGGGATTTTCGACGCAAACGAAGGGTGATAGACAGAAAACAGGTTTTTTAAAGTTTTGGTTTTCTCTATGAAAGTATACGCTATAGTGTCACCCCAACTAGCGCTTGGTATCCCCACGATAGATTCTTTAGTGCCCTTCTTGCTGTACCTTTTGCATGCTCGTGTAGACTCAGATTTATTATCCAAGTTTATGCTACCGAATAGACGTCGTGCATAGTCCGATCGTGCAAGTGTGGGGGTGATACTTCGATACCTCCATATATCCATTTTATGCCGTAACACCTCTACCCCCTTCTTCATATATCGTGTATCCGTCAATTGGTCTCGTAGGGTGTCTGTTGTACCAGCGGCGTATTCAAAAAGCAGAATGATCAGCTCCCTTCGACTTGAAACTGAATAATACTATGTAGTCTGAGAAGCTCTAAATTGTGTAATGATTATAAAAGTTGAGATTGGTTTGCTCACGATATTGACCTCAGCTAGACCCGAATGATTTTCTTATATTTATGAGTGCGGTCACTTAAATTCCGCAAGTCCGACGGTTCATGTTTCTACCTATAGAGTGCTCTCAGCCGGGTGAGATCCTGATGTGAGCTCTTCGCCGGATTGAAAACGCAGTGCTCGTACGTACCTATCCGCCCACCACGGGCGTGTTGGCATGTACGTTGTTATTAGTCCTTTGTAACCTTCGCCGTTTGAATTCAGAAAGGGCAACTGTGACCAGCGGAATGCACTTGTCACACGCTTGAACGCGATTGTGAGCATCCACGTGGTATTCAGTATATCGTGATTTATTCTAGACGCATATCGTTTCATTTTTGGTAGGATCAGTCCACGATCCTTCTAAAAATGAAACGATATGCGCCAAGAAGTGCCTGTACAGCGGGCTACGAGTTATTTTATACCAGATATTTTGTGACGCCAGCTGCTCCAGTTTGACAGGTTTAGCGCTGAGTATATTAGCAAAGAAATACGCTACCGTTAACTTACGCGCCTCTCATAGTTTCGCATATTCGTGCGTCCGTAAAGCCTTGAAAGAGGCATGTCTTTGATACCTTCGAAGTTGTTAGTTCAGAGTATGCGGCTGTAGGCGTAGGGAAACTGTAATTCGGTAAACCCATGTCAGCCTGAATCGAAGCGGTGAATGCTACTAAATATGTCGAGAAGAACTGGACCGGCCGACTGCGCTTTCGTTTCTACCGTGCAAGTATACACACACTACCGTCTCAACACAAGTGGGGTGTGTAGTTGGTTGGTTCGTTGAGGTATATTCGGGTATGCGAATGACCCACAATATCCGTTGTATTCCAACCATGGTTTTTGAAAGGTAGTTGCAGGTTTTTTCGGATACTATGGGGTTAAATATGTAGGTTGTGTAGTGCTACAGCGCCCATCTTTTTCTTCTACTGGATGATGTAAGAATCGACTAGCATCTACCCAGGATCCCTTCCTGAGCCGTACAGGGTCATTTCTTACGGCGATGGCTCCCCGGACGGGCTGCCGGTTCATATTAATGGATTATATAAGAATAAGTCTCGATTAGCACGATAATCACTATTGCTACCACTCCTGGTCGGCTGCATCCGATCGGGCGAGATGAAAGATAGCCTTGTATAATATATGTCATGTCTACATTGTCAGTGTATGCTAATAAATAAAGACCCATACATGCGCTTATGGTAATACATGCATCAATGAAGAGATTGCGTTTTTTCGAAATGAAGACAGTGGATTTGCAAAACTTAACATATATGTATCTCAATGAATAATCTTTTGACTTGGTGGGGCCTATGTCGAAGACAAAAGCAGAAAGGAGGTTTGTTGTGAATGAAAAGTATGATACTTCTACGATTTAGTCAAATAACTGATCTCGTGGCTCTTCCATGTTTCCATCTCTGCGCAAAAGTGCTGTCCAGGCTATAGCGACATTAGTTTACAATCAACCACACGTATTTAAAACGCATGAGCTCTATTACTTCTTTCTTTTGACCAGAAATTTGTTTGATTATAAATTTTTTAGTATTGATGATAAAAGTCCGACAATATAATAAGAAAAATAACTTTTTGGGATCGTTCTATATTTTCCTCTCTAGTTCTAAATAATTTACTATCGTACAAATTAATTTACTAAAATAATGGAAATTTAAGATCACATGGCTTTTTATAAAAATGAACATTTAAAAAGAATATATCTTTTCAAATTTGTAATGCTGATTCAATACATGATCGCATTTTGATATCCTAACAATATATTTATATCCAATCAATGAATGTCAAAATAAAAATAGTTCTTATTTTGTGAAAAAGATAAGGCCCCCCAAGTCCTTAATTTTTGGAAGAATAAGAAAAAAAAAACTGACTAAATATACTAATTTATAAATAAAGGGCGAAAAATGGTAAATGCTGCAATCTTAGTTTATTAATATTGGTTTGATTCAACACGGAATGTCGCAAGGCCGCCTGATGATGAGTACAGACAGCATAAACTTTCGATACAATTGTACGGTTTGCAATTCGCGTCTGTAAGCTCCTGCAGCTTCTGTGGTTCATTGCTGTCTCGTTGTTTGTACATTGTGCGTCACGCAAACGCCAACGAAATTTACTTGACGCGAGTGGAATTATACTTGCAGGCTCATCATGGTCATTGGTCTAATTGCATTGCTCGACTTGATTGCGGAAGTCTTTCTCTAACGTCACACGTATTGTACAAACTTCTTCACACCAATGAATGTGGTACCAATGATAGGAGCTCTCGACGCTGGTTGTAGACGGAGTTGCGCAGCGGACAATCAGACAGCAGCTTTGTCGAATTTGCCGATAAAAGCTATCAGGAATCATGCGCGTGGGCAGTCACCACGTGCAAATTCATTCGTTAGATTCGCTGTAAATGTATTGCGTCATTGAATTTAGACTTGACGACTCATATCGACTAATTGCCAGGTGAAGCTTGACTAACGATGAGTCATCAGCTTATGTTCAACCGCGCTTGAGCATGACCATTTTGCTCCTTGGTGTAGGTGAATCGCACATGCTGCATGCAAAGCTAGAGGTATGCAAGCTCGATAAAATGAAGCAAGCAGTGACCATAATGCCTAACTCATGCAAGTGCAGATGGTCAGTCGGTGACCCACACAATGCTTGACCAGCATCGCCTGTATCCTTGATTCGAGCTCAACGCTTACTTGTAGCCGTGCGCTGCAGTAGAACCAAACTAGTTTATTTACACTAGTCGTAACCCAACTGAATATATGCGATATGAATCAGGACCAAGCGCTTGATCGCTTACTCGAAGTGTCAAACCTCACAAAGATGCAGGCATAGAATTCCAGGCCCAATCGTTTCGACCTAATAGTCAATGCTGCGTGCCAGGCGCATCGTCGACGGTTCGTGTAGCGACGATAAACATCGAGCCGAGAAATACAAAAGCTCTTACCGCCAGGAACTACTGGAGAGCATGATGGGATACAAAAGCAAGAAGGCTGCAATAGTCGAGCCGCAATGAACTTACTAGCCTCAAGAATAAGCTTTAGGAGAAGCCAAGGGCTACGGGCAAGCAGGTAAGTACATACTCGGTCCAACCAATCGTTTTTATGGGTATTCTGATGTCGATCATGTGGCTGCTTCACATATTCCTGTTGTGAAAGACAATCACACGGCCATGCCAAGTCCATTCGACTGCTGCAGACTGAGGAACCGTTCAGCGCATAGCTCATCGATACGAGTCTTTCTAGATTGAGGAAACTCGATTTTGTCGAACAAGTTCAATACACTGGTCGATTGGGATAACATTAATAGTCACAGCGAGATATTTTGGAGTGACCTGTCGCAGACAGCGCATGACGCATTTTCTATAAACGCAGCACCGCTTCGTCGCGAGCAGATGACGACAGTCTAGTGTGCATCTTTTTGCAGCGAGGTCTACAGAAACACGCTCACTGAGTTTCATCAGCTCTTTTTTATGTGCTTCGGTGTCGAACATGCTGCAGCGAGATCTCACGTATACCCCCAAAGCAGCGATTCACAATCGACGGTCGGCTCAAGCACATCTACAAAATCGATGCAGCTCTCAACACTTTAGTGCCCCTTGCAACCACTTCTTTGCAGCAAACCACGTAAGAAGTCCATAATGTAACCAACTTTAGTCGCACGGACCTTATTCTTGATGGAATGACTCGCTCTTGAGTAACAAAAACCTGTACCCCATCTTGCTCAAGTTTGACAAAAAGCGCGGTCATGATAACTTGAAACTCGAAAGAAGTTTTACCACCCAATGACATCGACAAATGTTTCAACATGCGTGACTGGCACCAGCACAATGATCTTCGACTTTGTCGACGGACCTGAAGGATCGATACAAGAGCGGACTCCGAGCACGAAACTAGCATGACTCTTGCGTGAGCGACTTTGACTAAATCCTCAGCTCATTTACCATTGACATCGTCGCTTCCCTGTTGTGAGAAGGAGCTGCGGCAATGTACAACGCGTAAAGCGATGAAACCCCATCACAGGTGTTCACTGGTTGATACGCACGGTCCCACATCTCATCGTCGCTGCGCATGGTCTCACTTCGAAGGTTCCTGAACCGATTGTGACGAATGAAAGAGCTCTTTGGTTCGACACTACACAACATTTGCAGTCTACGTATGACTCAACTCAACTTACCATTCGCTCAGGCACGCCTCTAAGCTCCTGGAAAGTTTCGAAACGAGTAGTCCGACGACAAAAAAGTATGCGCGGAAAAAACGCAAGGTACCTTCAACAACACCCTTTCGCCTTGCGTTCTCCTTGATCCCTATCGCTCTCGTACTTGTCAAGGCAGCAGCCAAGAGCTCATTACTCAACTTGCCATGGAGAGCTTATATGCGACGGACTGTGCTTATCCAGAAACTTCCTCAAATTATGCGTACGCATCCTCGCCACTCTTTTCTCCCCCACTAGACTCTTCCTTGACCTCTAGTCCGAGTGAGGACGCGTCCTTGGCTACTCAAGGCGACAGCTCGATGGCGGAGTTTCCACTTGCGAGTTCGGACAAAGATTGGGACAGTCTGAGCGACATCTTCATCACCGACGCGCTGAATTCCTTACCGCCGTCTTCGATTATCGACCTGAACCAAGACCTGGACTTCGGGACGCAGGAGGATACACCAAACGATCCACGATGCTGTCAGAGCGAAACTACGCCTTCGTCTCCGTTTTCTGGAGCGCTCTCAGCTGAATCCACGTACCCGAACAACTCTTCGTGGATTGAAGAAATAGCTGTACCAGCCAATGATGAAGACCTCCTCCAACCGGTGGAGCCTCCACCAGCAGTCAAGCACGTGACTCGAGCACGAGGACGAGGCAGGAAAGTCGTGTCCACTGCCGCGCCAAAGAAGCCCACGGCAGGTCTCGACGAGCATAAAAAGCAGCGACGCCGGTCGCAGATCGCATTGGGCGTGCAACGCCATCGGGAGAAGAAGAGGAGTCAGGTCGTGTCGTTGCAGACCGAGATGAGTCGCCTGACGAGCCAATTGGCAACACTGCGAGCCGAGCGACGGGCTCACCTCGCGAACAACGACGAGCTCATGGGGTACGAGGAAGAAGCCATGACGCAACGGCGCAAGCGGAAACAGGCCGAGCAGCACAATCAGCTGCTGAAAGAAGCGCTGTTCCAGCAGACGACGTTTCTCGGGGGCATGCGGGCCATGATGGGCGGCAGCAACTTGCTGCTTTCCAAGACGCTCGAGTTTCACGACTGGGTGCACTCGTACACGGCCTTGTCGGCCACCGATGCCCTCGTGCGTCGGAAAGAGTACGTCGCGCATTTTCCACGGAGCAAGATGGAGTTGGCGCGGAACATTGTGATCCAGAACACCGAAGAAGATACGTTGCGCTTGTTGGCCACGGGCGGCACAACGACGGCGAACATTCGGATCGTGCACGACGGCACGCGGCACGCGCACGAGATGCACGCCGAGTCAGCTGCGGCCATGACACGGGACCTCTTCGGCCGCCGCAGTAGCCGGCAGGATCCGTATACCTCGTTCGTCGACGATGCCGGTGACGGCCGCGTGATCAAGGAGTTCTCGTCCGTGTTTTTCTTCCCCGAGACCGAGCACTGCACGCCCCGGTCGCTCATGAACATCCTGGCCAGAAGCTTGAAGACCATTGGCGTGTACTACACGGGCGTGTCGTACGAAGCGCGAGCGTCGGAAGAAGTGCACCTCGAGGAGGACAATGGCTTGACGCACTCGGACGTGTACTACTCGGACCTGGTGGCGTCCATGGAGCCCGTGATTGAAGAAGTCGACGAAGCCGATACGGCTGGGAACATTGACGTTGAAGCGCGGGTTTTGACGCGCGTGCAATGTGGACAAGACGAAGGGATCCTCTTGTGGGACTACGCGGACGAAGACACGTTGCACCCGATTCCAGTCGACTCGCCCGACCGCAAAGCCATTCGCCGCAACGTGTGCGGTGCAATGACCGTACGACGCGAAGTGGGCACCGGTTTGCTCTCAGTGCGCCACGTCTCGATCAAAGCGTATTGTCCGCTGGCGCAGCCCAAGAAGAACGTGGTCGGGAGGGTCCGAGGCGTCGGACGCCGAAGAGATTCGACGGGCCATCACGCGACGCATTGGCCTGCAAGCGACCGAGTCCGAACGCTTGCGGGACCGGTGCTTGGGCTACATCTACAACGACATTGTCCGTCGCTTGGAGATGCTGCAAGTGTCGTGAAGCCCTCGGGCCTGAAAGCCGATCGACCGGTTGGGAGGCACCTGGAACGACCGACAAGAGAATACTCGTGCAGCTATCCATGGCAGTGCTTTATGATTACGTTAATACCAGGTCTCGATCGCATGTTCGTTCGTCCCTCCTGTCTACCTGCCTCGATCGTCTCCCTCGTTAGTTCAGAGCGGCAACGAGCACAACGGCCACAATCGCTGCGGCAATCGCTCCGACGCTTGTCTGCGGCTTCACCATCGACGATCCACTCGTCTCGCGCGGGGTCGCCGCGTTGTCCGGCCGTGTCGTGGCATTGTCCCTATCTCCTGCGTCACTGGCTGAGCCCGTGACCGTATACGAGTCGGCGATCCCGACGCCCGCGGCATTGCGCTCGGCCACAGTGTCGAGAATCTCTTTCGGGCAAATGGCCGAACAGTTGAAGCGCTTGGCGGCCGCCAACTGCTTCTCGGCCGCGTCGTTCTGCGCAATGCACGACATGCACGTGTGGCAGATGGACGCCGGCTGCGTCGCCTCCGAGTTAATCTCCTGCAGACAGTGCAGCCGCTCGGCGCAGACGGGGCCTTCTTCCTGAGACGTGGCAATGTAGCCGTACGAGTCGACGCACTGGAGCTGGTCGCTGCACTCGCCAAACTGGGCGACAGTGCCCGACGTGGCGTTCGGGTTCACCGAGTTCTGGCACTTGTCGGCGTCTGCCGCTTGGCACTCGCACATCTTCTTCTCGCGGCCATTCTGCATGCCCTTCGACACGCACTCGAGCTTGAACCCATTGAGCTCGCCGCAGTCGTCGTCGTCGCACGCGAGACTGAGGAACTGGAGCAAGCACCGGTCGGGATTGTACTCGGTGTTCATGTACGACGTCGTGCCGCTGGTGGCTTGCACGGTCGTGCCGTTCGTGCCGACCGCCATCATGAGGCTGTTGCTCTCATCCGCGTCGGGCGTGTTATCGGGCGTGTTATCGGGCGTGGTGTCGGCCGTCGCGAGTTTTGCAGTGAGGGCGAGCAGAACGATCGGATACACAGCGACCATTGTGTGGAATACTCGAAGAGGGTGAGCGGCTCGTGTGTGGTGCGAAGCAGTCGAAGAAGTGGCGGGCGTAGAGGCTGGTAAGCAAATGGAAGAATGAGCTGCTGGGGAAGAGGAGGAGGAGGAGATGGAGGGGTGTCGATTAGTATAGAGGGGGGGGAGGTCTGTTGGTTATATAGCGGCAGAACCGGCGACAGACGAGGTGGTGGTAGGGAGGGCCCTAACCGCGTGCTGACGGGCTCTCTGTGTGTGTGTACGTGAGACACGTTGTTGCTACGTCTGACAAACCGGCTCGATTAGCTGATCGGAAAAGACAATCGAAAGACTGCGGCGAGGGGAGCAGGAAGCTTAGAATTTGTAGGAGCGGAAATAACGGAGTGAGTGATTAGGACGTGCGCGGAAAATACAAAAAACTGATTCGCGGAAAAAGAGTCAGTGTGTGCCATCATTTCGTTAAGTTGACAGGAGAGCGTGCGTGTTGGCACCGTCGATAGAGACATTAACAGTTTGACAGGCAAAGACTTCCGAGTTTGACTTTTGTGTTGCTAGAAGACACGACCGCCGCTTGCTAACAGTATCGATCGATAACTTGCATACAGCGCAACACCATACAGCTATGCGTCTCATGTTCTAGAACAGTCTGACAATATTCCACTCGACACGTGACAGCCTCAGGGTCCGGGTGTGACCTTGAGGTATAGGAAGAGTGGAGGCCGGTTCTTTCCCTGCACTTCTACGGACTAGGAATCGACAAGATTGAAGTTGGGACATTTGCCCTCGCTTTGTTGAGAACGTGGAGCAGTCTGCGAAAATGGGGGATGTGATGGTATCGCACAATGCGAGAAGGGGTCTGGTTCTTGTCTTTAAAGATTTGACGTCGCTGTTACATTGACGAATTCGCAAGGGATCGTCCAGAATGTGTTGCCCAGCTCGAAGATCGGTTCGTGGAAAGGCCTACAATTTCGACCACTGTTTCTTCGTTGGTAGTGTCACAAGCCCCTTTACGTGACGTTGTGACGAAAAGGGCGTGCTGAGAAAATTCATGGGAACTTGCGCCACATTAGCTTTGCTTTGATGCGTACATGCGCATCAGTGGACATGGCCTACGCGGCCGATGCGTGCGAGACCAATCAGAGCCCATGCAAAAGTTGATGGGCGGCCATCGCTCGAGCATACTGTCTGCACATCGTGTATCCAGTCAATGATTTGAAGATGGTTGGCAGTAGTACCCATACGGTGGTGGACAAGCAGTGATGCCAAATGTACACTTCTTCGAGATCGAAAGCGCACAAACGTTCTGCCGACGATGGAATGATAATCTGATACGCGCAACTTATGCCACTCGGTGGTGTTTGCAGTGACCATCTCGCATCATTGTTTTGCAATTCAAACGTAGTTTCTGGAACATGCGAAACGTTCGGACAGTCGGTCAGAACAATGCAAAAGTGGCTGTCGCGAAGATGCGGGCGTGTGTTTCAAGATGGCAGTACCAGAATGGAATCGCAGTTGCCACCTTACTTGACTCAAGCCCGTTTGCTTGCCAAGTAGAATACGCAACATGCACGTTGGGACGGACCTTCTTTTGGTTCGAACCGCGACAAATGGAAGTAGTGCAGATCGATGAAACAACGACAGCAACGTCTGCTGAGGGTTTTAAACGTAGCGCTCTTTTCTACATTTTTAGAAACATCGAGTATGCATGGCATCCACTAACGTCGACACGGCTCGTCAATCGTGCACCTCTCGCGCCATCCTTCGATACTTTTCGTCGAGTGTCGAATCCATAGGTCAATCTCTCCTTGCACTCGACGTGTCGCTGTCGATCGACGTTAGTGTTCGACGTATGCTACATTCAAGAACATGCCATCGACCACGAGGATGCACTGTGTACCGACAGAGGTGACGCTGCCGCTTTGTAGCAGTGCCATGTGTAGGCGTTTCTGCTAGCGTTCACTGAGGTCAGGGGTATAGGGCCTCTTCGGCTTGGTGCACGAATGGTCACAAAAGTACCTGTTGTAATACGCTGCATGGAGGATGAAACGTTTACGAACGCGGTGATACAACCGCTGCGAAGAGACCGACTGAAGTTGCGATCGTAACAGCTATTCTATCGGTATTGAGCAGCTACAAGCGACAGTGGATGTTTACTTCAGCAACCAGAAAATTTGTAGTACAATTGTCAATGCAGCGGGTCAAGAGAGCGCGCAAAGAGCGTTTCTGTCGTGTCGGCCAAGGTCAGCAAAGCGTCTGCAGTAACATAGCAGCCCAATAACTGCTTGGTAGACCGCGTCGGCTATCTCGTGACGTATGCAGCAAGATTGTAGACCGCGCCACGAGCTTATTGCAGAACGTAAGAAAGTAGCAGCCGGCAGAAAACACGTACCCTCAGCGGTTAAACAAACAACACTGTTGGATCACAGTAAGTCATCGTCGTCGGTGTAGCAGATGGGAAGTAGTGGTACGTCGAGAGCAAGTTTGCATGTCTTTGCTGCTACAGCAATGAGCTTAACCAAACCCCGCGTCATAAGAGCAGAATGGTCGCTGCGTTCGGTCTCCGCCATCATCTATAGCTTAGCAAGTCGTTGGTAGTTGGCAAAGGTGCATACAGTGTTTAGATCGCTGCATTTTGCACAGATAGGTGCGGCACGTAGTCACGCGTGGCGACTCTGTGACAGGCGGTCACGAACTCTACAAGAGCGACGGACTTCGTGACTTGAAAGGACGCGGCCGAGGTAACGACAAATGAACGATAAGAGAGGAAAGCCGAGCAGAAAGACACGATATGTTAAGGCAATAGACTGATCGATGGGATGGGACTGCCAAAGTCACGTTTGTACGGGTCACGACGACAGACGGCGTTGACCTTGCCGTCAAAGCGCCGTACCACACTCGACCGATATATCGTTGCTGCGTAGAGGCAAGTTCGTCAGGTCAAGACAGCGAGCGAGCAGGGTGTTATTGGGCTGTATCGATGGAGACGTGGCTTATAAAGTCCATCAGCCTTATCAGTTCATAGCTCGCATGAATGCCCTTGGCGTCTTACGCTACATTGCTTTGTCAACCGTTCGACTTGCTGCAGCTTAGTTTGCTTTCGTGTAGCGATGAAAGCTCTCAAGCAATAATGTCATGCCTGTCAGGTCAGCCCTTGGTCACTGCTTGGCAAAGCTCGTTGCAGCTCAGGTGCCGATGACCCGCAAGACGTTTATCCGACGTTTGACCCTTCGATTGCGGTCACGCGCATTGTAAGCGATATAGGTCTGACTTGTATATTGCGTCGTGTCTCTCTCGTTCTTTACGACCAAATCATCATGGCGAAGTAGCGATCCACTGCTCGCATCCATTCGCGTTGCTTAAGTACGGTCTCGCTGCAAATAGCTGCACCGTGTGTCTCCGTGTAAGTACGGGTCTTCCTGGCCAGCCAAATCGCGCTCGTCGAGTTAGGCACCATTCTCCCTTTGAATCCGCCGTCGAAGAAGCGCCCGACAATTATCGTATCCAGCCATGAGTAAACTCAACAGCGAGCTACTCGCGCAAGCAGTGGACAACATCCTGGCGTTCTCTGCGGGTGAGACCGTGACCATCAATGGCACGGAGCACAAGGGCAAGAAGCGCAACTTTAACGAAACCATTGAGCTGCAGATTGCGCTCAAGAACTACGACCCGCAGAAGGACAAGCGTTTCAGTGGCACGTTTAAGCTGCCGACGGTCCCGCGCCCCAACATGAAGATCTGCGTGCTGGGTAACGCCATTCACTGTGAAATGGCCGAGAAGGAGAACTTTGAGTACATGACCGTGGACGACCTCAAGAAGTTCAACAAGAACAAGAAGGTGATCAAGAAGTTTGCCAAGAAGTACGACGCGTTCCTGGCGTCCGACACGCTGATCAAGCAGATCCCGCGTCTGCTAGGTCCCGGTCTGAACAAGGCTGGCAAGTTCCCGACACTTGTGACGTCCAACGACTCGCTCACGGAGAAGGCCGAGCAAGTGCGTGCGACGATCAAGTTCCAGATGAAGAAGGTCATGTGCTTGAACGTTGCCATCGGCCACGTGGGACTCGACAAGCAGAAGATTGTCGTGAACACGCAGCTGGCTGCCAACTTTTTGGCCTCGCTCTTGAAGAAGAACTGGCAGAACATCAAGGTGCTGTACCTCAAGTCCACGATGGGTCCTGCAGTGCAGATCTTCTTCTAGGCTGCTGTCTGCTGCCTCATGGGCTTGTGGCTGTATGGTGCAAGCATCAAGACGTCTCACCATTGTGCTGTCGCGAGCACATTGGAAGCTACTTCGACTCTGATAACACAATTTGAAGGGATTGTTACTACGTCGTACTGTTCAATGTCCTTCCTACACAATCTGACTCGTCGTCTCGTTCAGGTGACTTGCAGCGACTTACGATCCAAAACAGCGCAACAACAATTCACACACGAAACATCGATGCCTCAACAAGGAAAGTAGTTTCAGTTACCTCATCTTACCGGACCCTGCTGCGTCACGCCTACCTCTAAGCAAGCAGTGGTCACAGTGTGCTCAAAAGTTAATGGACTTGTCATGGGCAGCAAGGCAGGCCTCCTTGAACGCCTCGCTCAGCGTCGGGTGGGCGTGGCACGTGCGCGCCAAGTCCTCACTCGCAGCGCCGTACTCAATGCCAATCACACCCTCCGAAATCATCTCTCCGGCATTGCTGGCAATGATGTGCACGCCAAGCAACTTGTCCGTCTTCTTGTCCGCCAGCACCTTCACCATTCCGTCCGCCTCGGCCACCGTGCGAGCCCGACTGTTGGCCATCATCGGGAACTTGCCCACATTGTACTCGACGCCCTCGGCCTTCAGCTCCTCTTCCGTTTTGCCCACTGACGCCAATTCCGGAAACGTATAAATGACATTCGGGATCGCGCCGTAGTTCACGTGGCCGTGCTTGCCGACAATGTTCTCCACGCACGCAATTCCCTCTTCTTCCGCCTTGTGCGCCAGCATCGTGCCCTTGATCACATCGCCAATGGCAAAGATACCCGGTACTTGCGTCTGAAACGCCTCGTCCACTTCAATGCGGCCTTGCTTGTCCGTCTGGATGCCCATCTGCTCGAGTCCCAAGCCAGCAGTAAACGGGCGACGACCCGTCGCGACCAGCACCGTGTCGCACGTGATCGTTGACGCGTCGCCGCCCTTCGCAGGTTCCGTCGTGAGGGTCACCACGTCGCCGTTCACTTCCGACGCCGTGACTTTCGTGCCAAATTGGAACTCGAGGCCCTGTTTCTTCAGCAGCTTCATAAAGTCCTTGACCGTGCCGCGGTCGAGCCCCGAGCACGCCGAGTCGAGGTACTCCACGACCGTCACCTTTGCGCCCAAGCGCTTGTACACGGAGCCCAGTTCGAGCCCAATGACTCCGGCGCCCACGACCACGAGGTGCTCCGGCACGCGCGCCAGCGCCAGCGCACCGGTCGAGTCAATGATCTTGCCGGCCTCATTGTCCACCGGCACGGGTGGCAAGGGCGTGACTTCCGACCCAGTGGCCACGATAATGTGCTTGGCCGTGATCGTCTCGTTGCCCTGTCTGTCCGCGCGCGTCACAGATACTTGGCCCTGGGCCGCGAGCTTGCCGACCCCTTTTATGTACGTCACGTTGTTTTTCGAAAAAAGCGCTTCGATCCCAGCGGTTAGGGTCCGGACGGCCTTGTCTTTGGCCTTCATCATCTGCGGAAAGTTCGCCGTCACGTGGGGCGCGTCAATGCCGTAGCTCTTAAAGTCGTGTTGCGCCGTGTGCAAGAGGTGCGTCGAGTGCAGCAGCGCTTTCGACGGGATGCAGCCCACGTTCAGACACGTGCCGCCCAATTTGCCGCGCGACTCGACACAAGCGGTTTTGAGGCCCAATTGCGCGGCTTTGATCGCCGCCACGTAGCCGCCCGGGCCGCCGCCAATCACAACGAGGTCGTAGTCAGACGAGGAGACGAGGAGGAGAACAACGACGCACGTTGGAGCATTGAGCACCGCGTCGGGAACGACCGGCGGGGGATGCACCGAACGGGACGCCACATGGTACACGGTCTTCTTCTGCTCAAGTCGAGTGGACGGTGGGGAGCGAGTGCGAAAATAACACTTGGGAGGGGCGAGGGCGTACTTAGACGCGAACTTGAGGTCGCGCGGTGATTGGAGGATCGGGATGACGTGGCGTACACGACTTTTCAACGACTTGTCATGGAGAGCCTTTTCGAGTGTTCGAAGTCTATTCTTCTATCATCAGACATGCGGGGAGTTGGATATGCAGCGATGTAGTCGCATGTTGTAACGTAAATGACCGACTATAGCCGATGAACTGCACTCGTGCTGACAGCACTATCCATGAAGTTACCAGCTCGAACAGGGGTCGACGTAGATGTGAGACCAGGTGTGTTGATGACGTTCGGTTCATGACGAATTGCATCTTCTGGTGCGCTTTCATCTTCTGCACTGTATCTCGTCTCGTTAGACTGTCGAGCAAGCGTCAGATCGGCTTCAACAGCCTTTGCCGAGTTGTGTTACACTGCACTGAAAAATGTTGATAAGTTTTGTTGCAGGACATTACGGTCCAGCGCTTGTCTTACAGCTTTCCCGCGATCATCACTAGGCTCACGCTGGCTACCAATCTGCTTATAGCTTTGAGCATGCATGTCGCGTACAGCATATCATTTCTCTGGACTAGGAGATTGCGTTGCCGTACAGATCACGGCTCAAAACAAGACATGCGCTTGCTTCTACTCACACCGTTGCCACCGCATACGCGCCGGACTTCCCCTTTTACTTTCCATTCCGGAAACACTGACAGCGTGCGTTGACACACAAGTTCAATCCATCACCTTCTTTGAGCCCGCATTCTTGGCATCGCTACTGGTAAACGAAGCGAAACGCTATGCATCGAAATGAAATGATCGACAGTGGTCGCATGCTAGTACCATTACCCTAAAAAGTATATCCGATGGCCATATACCGTTTATGAATCCGTACATGACCAGAGAAGTCTAACGATCGATGCCTTGGGTGAAAAGCTACCGTTCCCGGGCGCATTTGCTCCTTCTTCAGTAAAGACGGGGGCAAAGCGACTGTTCAAAGCTCCTTGCCGGTCCAAATATGCTTGTAGCTTATCGGTTTAAAATAGGCATAGCTAATGCTAACTTATCTTGCTACCTGCCGTGCAGCGATTCTATGTGCACCATTATTAGTACACTCTCATACTTTTATCGCAACGTGGTTTGCACGACAAAGCATACGGATGCGAGCCTCATGCATACGTCGGCTTTATACACAAGAAGCCACTTCCCTGATTTGGTACGATACGTCTGCCGAAGGTTCGCTTTGTGAAAAATGCAGTCTTTCATCAGTCGTGGACACCTTAAGAAGTCTCTTGTCAATTGATGCACCCCCATATGCCAGTCCTTTTGTCCCTGGTGCCAATCAGTCCTACTTTACACTGCAACATCGTCTTGTGTGTCATCGTTTCAAACCATTGATCATGTTCCATTCCTTACTTGACGAACCGGCAAAGCACTTTATGCCGCTTGCATGCAGGTCAAAACCTGCAAGATGGAGATCGCCTCTCATTTGTCACTAGAAGCATGTTGCCCATGTTCATTACGGTAAGAAACATGTCCATGATTGACCAGGCCAGCATTCGAGCGTGAATGAAGCCCGTTGTTGCAGCAGTTTCTGGCAACTATGAATGTTGCCGGTTGAGAATCATATCCACCGAGAGCTCTGGTGCAAGAGGGGGCACGGTAGATGATCTGGCCGCGGCTCGATGAAGGGGTGACGATCTTGCGGCCGCAGTTATCAACACATCATGCAGATTGCGAATGGCTACTATGAAAATGATACCATAAGAAGCTGCCCAGTCGTTCGTCAAGAGGCTGCTTTCATGCGAACTGTTTCTTCGGCCGCCGTGTTGATAGTCTCATACAACTGCTTTGCGCTATAGAGATGTTCAATTACGTCACCCGCTGTGAAAAGCGCTGGTCCTAAGAGTGTATTCTTTTGTTCCTTTCGCTTCGTTGTCGTGTCAATGAACGCAGAGCATCATATAGAGCGAACAGGGTCAACTGTTACGTTCGCCTCTGTGACTTGCCACGGCAACTAGAGTATACCTGTCTTCAGCAAGCTAACAACGCGCAGAATAGTATCCGTATCAGCGCTGGCTGGAAACAATTTTGCTACCCTTACTTTTCGTCGACACATGGACCCTTGTGGGCTCTAGCCATGTCGAGATGTTAACGTAAACTGTGCCAGCATTCAATATCTTTACACACATACACGTTATCCCACTGCTACACTCTTCGCAAAGAAAAGGTTTGACTGTATAGATCGGTATACTGCCAGCACTTTTGATGGTGGGTTCAGATGGTCTATTTACACGTGGTAAGTTATGTGCAAGATCTCTGGTAATTTCTGAGCCAGGACGTAAGCGCCGGAGGACCCGGGGGCCGATCGTGGCCAAATTCGGAAACTGGCGCCCCTATAGGTTCGTGCTCCAGTAACTCAATGGATGCAAACAGCAGTGCTCATTTGATAGATGACGTGACATGACGATGTCCTCTTTTTGCTATTGCTCGCAGGTGGCAGATGCATGACGCCCAATAAGTTTGTGTGCACCCAGGATTGGCGATTTTTGCTGCCCGGCAGACCACCGCATTCCGGTCCACCCAAATTTTTGGTTGGCATATCATGTGCCCAATTCGCTTTTACACGTGTGCGGCCGCTTCCCCGTCATCAGGAAACCGTTCCTCGAGGATGGCCTTCCGGTAAGTGGGTATCTCGTGTACCTGTCGGCTGGCACACGCTGTGAAGATTTGTGCTATTCCCTGACGAGTGACTCGTTCTCCTGTCAACTGCCTGACCAGTTTATCATAGAGGGCTGCGGCGCTCGCGCAGTCCAAAACAAGTGAGCCATCGTCCTTACGCCGCCCCTACAGGCCAATTGTTTTCTGCAGCTGTCGTATGCGGTCCGCCCAGCATAGCACAATTTAAGTTGCCGAGTCGCGACCCGATATCCCGCCCATATTTGGTATTCGGTGAGGCCGTGACTATGGTACCGAGCTTGAAGCAAGCTACCATTGACAAAATGACGCGCGTTACCATCCGTCCGCCCGTGCATGTGCGTCCATCCAGTCCCTGAATTCCTTGCGAGGTCTGGCTAGCACTTTTTTTCTAATGCCGAGAGGCTGCCTTTTCAGCGCTGTGGTTATAGCGTGGTTCGGCGTTGTATCCATGATAGGCCACAGAAACCAGTAATGCTGCGGGTGTAGGAATAACGAAAGCATGGTTAATAACTTCTATATTTAAACGCGCGCCAGACGCGCTTCGCCCCCCCCGCCGGGGGCCTCGTCAGTGGCTTAAACAATCTAGAAGTGAGACCTTGCTCTATCTTGCGCTCAACGACGAGGAAATTTTAGAGCTTAGTGTATACAAAACACCCACTATAACTACCAAACCTGGCAGCAGGGGCGTCGGCCCGAAAGAAAGTGTTCGCCATGACAACTCCACTTTCAACAGCGGGTGCTCCCCAAATACGAGGCCACGAGCCCGAAGCACGTGGCATGATTTCTGTCGTTAAATGAAGGAGACCATGTTGAACGTTGACTTTTGTCTCTGGCAGAACCAGTGTATGCAATCCTCAACCAGATGCAGAGTTATGATCAGTGGCGTGCCCTGCTCGCTTTTCGGTGGAAGTCCTTTTATGACGCGTTTGGATATCGCTCTTCAGACATATATAGATATGATGTTTGTAGCCTAGCGAATGCACAGGTCCTGATTCGAGTTATGATATCACCCATGGGCATCTCGGGAGAAGCGAGCAGAATTGATGTTGCCCATCGCCTTAGTCTGTTAGCCGAATATGGGTCTGGAATGATGAGTTGGTCGGGATATGTTTATTACAAATTCCGATGGCCCTGTTCTGCATAATGCGTAGTTCTTCAAGTGTACAGTCGTCGACCCTGTCCAATATGTGCCCGGACAGAATGTAACAGGGTAGCCCGTTACATAAAAATAACATTGTGCGAAATGATGTTAGCGAAATTTTAATGAATATTATAGGGAGAATAAGAAATGCTCCATTTAATCACGATAATAAAAATGCCCCACGTCCTAACATACTCAAGTTAATGTGGCAAACATAAAACCACACGTACTTAATCATTTTCGTTCTCCCATTATACGGCCGTGACCAACCCCCGCCCTATTTGGAAAGCCGCGGAGAGGGTTCTGCCGCGGGCGTACTGCGCTTGCAGCCACCAGTTGCGGGCGCAGACGCGAGATATGAGTACGTAAACGCGTCTTCGTATCATTGGCCGCGGCCTTTAACACAGTCAGTCGGTGATAATGTTGTGGATATCAATAATAATGCTTTCGTTATTGTTGCTTCAGTTGCTATTGATGATGCAGTTGCTGCTGCTGTTAGTGGTGTAGGTGCTGCGGTTGCTATTGATGTTGTTCTAATTTTTATATCGCATTTCCGCTCTCACCAGCGTTTATACGTCGACATGAACCGTCGCCGTTCCACAGCGGGCGACGTCGACGCACGCTGAGTCCGTTACAACGCCGACCGAAATTGAGTCGCATACATACACTGAGTCGAAGTGGCATCCCGAGTCTACGTCGTAGCAGTCGGAGTAGACGCAGATGACGATGCAGTCGCGTGTGACAGAGGTAAAGGCACGAGATTCATTAGTTGCAGTGGATGGAGTTGCGAGCGCGAGCGCCCGCAACACGCGCGTGCTGGTGCTCAATGGCGGACAGTGTACGTGTGTGTGTGTGTGTAGCCGAAACAACGACGAGTGTGGTGCTGCTCCTACCGAGCTGCGTTTAGGACAAATGAAACGGTTTGTTATAACGATCGGATTCGAGCAGCTTGCACTCTGAATTACCAGCACATCATGTGAGAAGATAGAGTATGTTGCATCGCGCTTATACATATTGCGTTGAAACCATCATAACCAGAACTAGAACTTTGGGTCGATGTGCTGCGCTTGACTTAATTGAGATGCGGCTGCATCATGAGTATCTACAT